CCCCCAAAACCCCAAAACCCCAAAACCCCTTCTTGGATTAAGTTAATAGAATATAATAATTTGTATAATAGTAATGCGAGTTCGGAATTTTGGAGGCGTTTTAGTGGTTGTTTTAATAGCAAGGATAGTTCAGGCTTATAGAGACTTCACAGATGATGATAATCTTTTGACTTTCAATCTTTCAGATTCTGAGTATAACGAGCAGCCTACTTTTATAAATGTGAACATTAATGATGAGTTTCTATCAAGAAAATTGCTAATTGATATGAGCTCTTATAGAACTATAATCTTTGATGATGAAGAGTTAAAGCCTCCAACGGAGCAGATCATTTATAGAAATGTAAATGAGCCGTTAGATGTAACAAGAGATGAAGTAACTTTAAAGTTAATAGGAACAAGAGGTCCTCTCAATTCCAAAGACTCTAAGACAGAGACAGTATCTGTCCCACTTGAGATCTATAGAGGAACAAAAACAGAGGAACATCGAGCTTTGAAGTTTGACGGAATTCTTGGGATAGCTTCTTTCCAAGATGATGATCTAATCTCTCCCTATTCTTTCCTTAAGCAGCTGGTAAAGAATGGAATAATCAATTATGAATCGTTTAGGTTAGACAATATGGTATTTAATGATAATGACCAGCAATATCAGAGCACAATATCTTTTGGGTTTGAAAACAACCCAAGCACTGAAAAGTATCTCTTGGCCGATAACCCAATTCCCAAGTTCAGCAAGAGTCTTCAAGATCCAGTGCATATCTATGATATCATTATTAAAGATGTTGGGCTTAAAGATGTAGATATTCTAAACTATTTTGATATCTCAGATTATGACGACTGGAGTAAAAACAAAAGTTCTTACAGCGAGGTGATACTAGACAGTGCAGTTCCTTTTATTCAGCTTCCAGATAAGGTCTTTGGGTATTTCCATAAGACATTCTTTGATGACAACTGACATCAGCCTATAAATCAAAAGCAGGCTTCTTGTAGCTGTGTAGGAAGCGATTATGGTGGTCTCCCCTCCATAAATTTCAAGTTCAAGGACTATCTTAGATACACAATAGAGCCAGAGGATTATATGACTCCCCCAAGAATAAATGTGACCACAAGAGAACCATATTGTAGTCTTGGAGTGTATTCATATTGGAACGATACACATCCTGACAATGTTGGATTTGGCAGATACTTCTTCAACAGATTCAAGCTCTTCGTAAAAGTTGATAGGGTATCTGGAATTTATACAGTCGGATTTGAGAAGGGAGAAAGTTACAGATCCCTTGCACTCATTTTGCCTACAGTGTTGTACTACGTTATCGTCATTGGAATTTTGATTACCCTTGCAATTTGGTTATCAATAAAGAAATACAGAAGGTTGGAAGCAGAGAAGAAGAAAGAGCATCCTCTGCTCCAACCAAATGAGAAAGTTGAAGATCTTAAAGATGTCAGTAAGGCCCTCAGAAAGATGGACTTCAATATGAACATGAGTGCTTATAACAAAGTTTTTGAAAGGCAAGGGAAAACAAAATCTAGCTAATTTCCAATAATCTTGGTTCAATGCAGAATTTTAGAATGGGGTTTTGGGGTTTTGGGGTTTTGGGGTTTTGGGG